CGTGCTCACCAGCTGTGTCAAGGAGTCTGGAGGACAACTACCTAGAAAAATGACTAGAAGACATCCATGTTTATTCCTATTGCAAAAAAAAAAGTGACCTGACAGTGTAGAAATTATTGACTAATATCACTAACATCACATGCAAGCAAAATCCTGCTGAAGATTACCCAAAAACAACTAGAACAGTACAGTGACACAAATACAAGCTGGGTTTAGAAGAGGCCGTGGCACTAGTGACATTATTGTCCAGGTCAGATGGATCTTGGCAGAAAGCAAAGGAACGTTTATCTGTGTTTCATGACTATGCAGAAGCATTGGACTGTGTGGATCACAACAACTGGTGGCTAACTTTGAGAAGAATGGGAATCCCAGGATATTTGATTATGCTCATCAAAACCTATACTTGGATCAAGAATGAGTCATCAGAACAGAGCAAGGAAACACTACATTGTTCAAAATCAGGAAAGGAGTGCATCATGGATGCATACTGTCTCCATATCTTTGCAATCTATATGCAGAACAAATCATTCAGGAGGCTGGACTTTGTGAGGAGGAATGTAGCATCAGGATTGAAGGAAGACTCATTAACAACCTATGCAGTTGTTGCAACCTTGCTTGCTGAAACTGAGGAGGACTTGAAGCATGTGCTGCAGAAGGTCAAAGACTGAAGGATTGAAGCTCCAACATCAAGAAGACAAAGATTCTCACCACTGGGAGAAGAGATTGAGGTTATTAACAATTTCAGCTTGCTTTACTCCACAATCAACACTCTTGGCACTAGCAGTCAGGAAATCAAAAGATTGATTGCATTGGGGAAGACTGCTATCAGAGACCTCTCCAAAATGCTAAAGAGCAATGATGTCAGTCTAGAGACTAAGATATGCCTGACCTAGGCCAAAGTCTTCTCAATTACTTGCTGTGCATCAGAGAGCTGAACAATAACTAAAGGTGATAGAATCCTTACTGGGATAATGGGAGTAGGTGTGCCACAGTTAGTGAGTCTGGCTCAGGACAGGGCGGGGTTTAGAGGGTACACAGGGCCTCTATAAGTCTCAGATAACCCAATGAAACATAACAACAATAGGTACAAGGGTATGAGAGGCATGTTTGACCTCATTACTTGTGATCAGGCAAGAACAGTCCCTGGAGAAGGGAATCATGCTTGGTAAAGAGCAAAAAAAAAAAAAAATAAAAAGGAAGAGCCTCAACAGGATGGATTAATAGTGTCTGCAGCAATGGTCTCAGCACAGGAATGGCTGCAAGAAGGGCACAGGAGTGGGCAGGGTTTTGTTCTGTTGTGAGCAGAATTGTGATCACTCATAATCAACGTGATGGCAGCTATCAACAGTGATATGAAAGTCAAAATCTTCAGTATGGATTACATCTCAACATGAAAAGAAAAATCCTCACCACTGGGCCAATAAGCTACATCATGATAAATGGAGAAAAGATTGAAGCTGCAAGGATTTCCTTTGACGAGTACCCATATCAGCACCCATGGAAACAGCTGTGAAGAAATCAAATGGCATTACATTGGGCAAATCTGCTGCTTAGAATTTCTTTAAAATGCTGCAAAACAAGGATGTCACTTTAAAGAAAAGGTGTGCTTTGCAGAGTGCCACTTTTGAAGCTCCTGACTTAAGGTCTAAGTTGCTTTATACTGCTCACTAAATGCTATTCCATAAAGGCCTGCCTGGCATGTCTAGAGATAAGTTCCACTCAGAATCTCTACCCAGTCTCAAGGAAACTGCTTCTTTCTATAGCTCAGTGTCTGTAATTCAAGGTCTTAGGGAGTGTTCCTCATTCCTGCAGCATACTGATATCTTGAGGCTGAGTTTCCACAGTAACCCAGCCTACGTAATATACCTAGGCAAATTCCTATAAAAGCCTGAAAAAAACTTTAATAAAGTGGGACTTGATCAGGAATCTGTCTTGTCCCCATTCTTTTCACCACTTGTCCCTTTTCATCCCCACTCTCCCTCCTTTAGGGTCTGTGTTGACGTCCCCGCTGGCCAGGGCAGTGCTTAACTCAAGCCATAATATTTTCATGTGCCTTATATGCATGTGAAAATCAGACACTGAATAAGGAAGATTAAAGAAAAACTGATGCTTTTGAATTGTGATACTGGCAAGGAATATTAAATATACACCATGGACTGTTGGAAGAACAAACAAATCTGCCTTGTAAGAAATGCAGCCAGAATACTTATTAGATGGGAGAATGGGAAGACTTTTATTTCACATACTCTGGATGTGATAATAGGAGAGGCCAGTCTCTAAAGAAAGACATTGTGCTTAGAAATGTGGAGGGCCAGCAAAAGAGGAAGACCTTCAGTAAGGTGGATTGGCAGTGACCCTAACTATGTTTAAGCAGAGAAGAGGTGGTGAGAATGGCACAGTATTAGATGGGGTTTCATTCTGTTGTACGTACAATCACTATGAGTGGTAGCAGCAGAAAGGATGGCACCTAAAAACAGTAACAGAAGATGGAGTGGGAGGTGCTCAGCATAAAAATACTAGATAACTCCAACTCAATTTAGGCATGAAAAGCTTTTTTGGCTTTTTGTTTAGCTTTGTATTATAAAGCTTTTTAAACATACAAAAGTAGACCATTATAATGCTAATGCATTCCTGGGTTCTCTACAGAAGAAACTCATTAGAGAGATGGATTTATCTCAAAGAAATGGTGTACATACTTCCAGGTACTTCTAAGTCACCTATGTGGTCAGATGTCAAGTAACAGGATAATTTCAAAGAACCAAATCCAAGATCGACAGGTCAGGGTGCTGGCTTCAGAAGCTGTTCAAACCATGCAATATGGCAGCAAGCAATGTGCCAGCCTGCTGGCTCACATCCAAAGAACCAATGGGCAGAGGAGTTGATCCAGCTACATGATTTAAATCAAGGAAAAAGTACACTAGTTTTGTCAGGGTATAACTGAGGTAGGTGTGTCAGAGTCAGTGAGAATGGCTCAGGATAGGGCAGGGTTCAGAACTATTACACTTTGGCAACTCAATGGCACAAAACATATATATGTCAGGCCAATTATTTTTTTTAAAAAATGTATACTTTGTGCTTGCTTCGGCAGCACATAACTAAAACTGGAACAGTAACAGAGAAGATTAGCACAAGAGGAGATTGCCCCTCCTTCTCCAGCAAAGCATCTGGTGGATTCAAACTGTATATCTCTGGGATTGCAGTGCAGCTTCTTGACACTAGGCCACCAGAGCTCCCTTAAGCATTCCATATTTTTTTATAAAAAGAAGAAAATGTATACTTCATTTGGTATTAACAGGTTTGAACATTTTTTTTTTAAATTTCCATTCATTCATTCAATTGATTGGCTGCTCATAGCAGATCTCATGGTGAAGGTGATTGCATTATATGAGGCTACATCATAATTACCAGATCAGAGAATCATGTGCAATCAAGGTGACATACCTGCTTAACATCACCAAATTTTATCAACGAATAACCCATCTTTTTTTACCAGTCATTCATACCTGCTTTTCATTTCCCTACTTGGATTTAAAAAAAAAAACCACCTCGACATCCCATTATTTCATCTGCAGATACTTTATTATGTATCTTTAAGAGTTAAGGTGGAAAAAAAAAGAGTTAAGGTGCAAAATAATTTTTTATAAAAAGAGTTAAGTTACAACAATGAATAAAAAAAATTTTTACAAATGAGTGTGAATGATCCAAGGAAATTGCAATTACAATGTTATGAAACAAGACATGATGAATGATAAATGAAATTGTAATTATAATGCTATAAAACAAAATGTATATGAATTAAAAACTAATATGATTTGTAAACTCTAAAATAAAAATTAAAAAGAGTCAAGGACTTCTTTTTAGCAGACATAACAAAACAAGCATTTATTATACCTTGATATTTTTTGTCATTTCTTTATTGGATATTAACCTGGCAGTGTTCTTTGCTCATTTAATAAAAGAATTTTATAGCTAACTTCTTGAACTAGAATCTAAACAAGATCCACACACTGCACTTGTTTATACGTTTCTAATTTTTCTTGATTTTAAAATGATTTATCCTATTTTTCCACCTTGTCATTAATGTTAAGTAGACATGTCATTTGTCCTACATAATTTCTTACATTTTTTATTTGACTGGTTTCATCCCTTTGAAGTATTTTAAAACATGTTCCTGTAACCCATCTCTATATTTCTAGAAATCGTCTATATTTCTAGAAATCTTGACGTTTGATTTGGTTTAATTTTGGCAATAGTTGATACTCTTCAATGTGCATCTCACCAGATGATAAAATGCCATGGTTAATCAGCGAATTCAGGTATAAGCAGTCTGATGCGTCCATGATACCTTTCAAAAGTGTTCTAGCCCGCTCACAGAGTTGTGAAATAAGATAGATATACATATATATCCTAGCCATTCCCTGAAACTTCCCTCTTTTCTCCGCCCAGCCAATTCCTGTCCCCCAAAACAATCACTTTTCTGATTTTTTTATAAATATCCTGTTCTAGAACTTCATACAAATGTCATTATAAGTATATACCTTTGTGTCTGGCTGATCTCCCTGATTCAGTTATTTCTATTACACGAATATGCCAGCTCATCCATTTTTCCCATGAAGGGCGTCAAAGAGCTGCTCCTATTGGCTCCTAACGCGCCTGCCGCCCGCCCCCTACGCTTCCGTCTAGTGTCACCCCTCTGGCCTGCTTCAAAAGCTGGGACGGCTTAGCTCGTCGCTGATTTGTGGAGTTGCTTTGACTGGCAGACAAAGTCCCCAGTGATCAGTGACCTTCAGGGCTCCGAGTCGGTTTCATCCATTTCCCTAAGTTTTTGAGAATGGAGCAAGTGTCCAAATTCCCCCCCCCTAGGAAAGCTAAGAGAATTAGGTGTATCATTAAGCTTTAATTTAAAGCATAATAATTTTGTCATAGGAAAGATCGTCCAAGGCCAAGAAGGAGAGCGGAAATTAGACGCGCTGCCTCCAGTTTGTAATTGTCCCTTCCAGGATGCCGTCGCCTTTCCGGGGCCGCTGAGCTTCCGGGAGTTCTCGGAAGTGGCTTCCCTTTTTGATAGAAGGCGGGGTGCTGCTCTCATTCGGTGAGGTCTGTGTGGTGTAGACCGAAATCCTGCGGGGGGACAGGTCAGGCAAGGAGGGGACAGAGCCGGGCACGGCGACTGCAGAGACAGAGGTTCTCCGAGGCTGCTACGGTCTGACCAGGAAGCTATCATTCATTATTTGTTCACAGCTGAGGAGCGAGGATTTCTTGGGAGTCCGTGTCTAAATCTGAAAAATTGTCTCGCTTTGCTTAACCCTGGGCTGCTGCCGGCTTTCTCAGAGCGGAGGGAGTTCCCCTTCTTCCAATCTGCAGCCCGGGTGACCGCTGCCATGGCTTTTCCTCACCGGCCGGACGCCCCTGAGCTACCTGACTTCTCCATGCTCAAGAGACTGGCTCGAGACCAGCTCATCTATCTGCTGGAGCAGGTCAGTGCCTGCCACACTTGCGGGCCTTTAGTGCATCAAAGTTTAACACCCATTCGATACCAAGATCTGGGGCCTTGGAAGCGCAATGGTTAAGCGCTCGACAACCAACCGAGGGTGGGCAGTTAAACCCGTTAGATGCTCTGCAGGAAAATTATTTACAGATTTGGAAACTGTAGGGTGGTTCCACTTTGACCTGAAAGGTCTCTATGAGTCGAAACAACCAGGGGTTTGGTTGGAAGTTTGTGGTTGTGTTGTGTGTGTGTGTATTTTGCGTCTTCTTTTGACAAGGCATTCCGATCTCGTTCTTAAACCTCGATGTCAAGTTGGCTAGAACCTGCCCACGTCTTCCTTAGGCCAGGGGAGATAGCAATCAGCATTCAACAACGTGCCTGGCACTGTGCAACTCACCAGGGTTGGAAAGATGATTACAACATCTCCTTTGCTATTAAGGGTCTTCCAATGCAGTAGGAGCCTCATAAAACACAAATTGCCCCACACAGATGTCATGTGGGAAAGAGTGCAGGATCAGCAGTCCTTTCTAGGTGGAGTTGTAAAGAGCTGGAGTGTGACGAATAAGCATATATTCCATAGAGATTCCAAGCAGGTAGATTGCTAAGAGCAAAGTTAAGGAACTAGGCAATAACGGGTGGAGTGATCAGACATTAAACAGAAGGCATTAGGCCACTACTGAAGACCCCTTTTTTTTTTTGTGGCATGAGGTCTTACTTAAAGATGTTTCTAATAGCAATGTGAGTACATGGGCAGCAAGGAGCCTGGTTAGAAGACCATAATTTAGTCTGATATAACAAAGACCCACAGAGGAATAGAATAGAAAAGAAGAGATGGATTTGTCAGACATGGGGAAAGAAGACTCGGACAAATTGATTGGCTTATAGGTTGAAGCAGGGAATTCTGATAGCCTAATGGTAAGGAGCTGCAATACCATTCCAAAGGCATGTGGTTTGAATCCACCAGCTGCTCTGCAGGAGCAGGATGGGTAATCTCCTCCTGTGCAATTTATTGCCTCTGAAAACCTGCTGGAGGGTCAGCTGTGAATCGGTTACAACTAGATGGTACATAACAGCTACAATGCAGATTGAGGGGAAAATCAAAACAGTCTAAGATTGTGACTTGGGATATTAGAATTACACTACTACTCTAATTGTTGTGTACCAGGACTAACTAACCGTCCAGCGAGTTTTCAAAGGCAGTAAATCTACGAAAAAGAGATTGCCCATCTTTCTCCCATGTGGAGAAACTCATGCCTTCAGGTTGACAGCGCAGCTCCTTAGCTCTAGCCCCCCAGAGTTACTGTAATTATAATGGATTTATTGTACAGGTATGCTCTGCGTAGTGTGATTTGACCACATCTAACTGCATATATATCCATGGCCCTGTAGGCCGCCCGCCACTCAGCAACCAGAATAAATGTTTTGGCACACTGGGCAAGCAGACCTGGACTTTCCTCTAGAACTTTAACATAGGCTAGTGTCCCGCAAAGGTCCTGCCTGGCTCCCCTGCCTGTTCCCAGCGGTGGATTGTCTGGTGGTATTTGAGCAGTGAACTCTGCCAGAAAGCTTTGCTGCAGGTGCTGATGTGTATCCACACCTGCAGGAGGAAGTGGGAGCAGTGAGGCCTTGGAAGGCCTGCTACACTCACGGCTTTGGCAGAGTTTCTCACACATGTGGATGTGCTGGTGCTGCATGAAGAGTGAGCTGTGGTGGAAAGCCTTGCTGCACAGCCTGTCTGGGCACCATGGTGCTGCATGAAGCTGGACACACGGGTTTGCTGCGTTTGTGGCAGACATCTACCATTTTGTTGCACTGATGCTTCAGCAGCAGTAAGTTGTACTTGAAGCTCTTGCTACAAACCTCCTGTCAGTGTGGCTTCTTGCCCCCTGCCCCATGACAAGATTGATCCCCAAAGTCCACCCCTAGGCCACAGCTGATGCCCAGCTCAATGTGCTCAGGGCTGCCGCCATGCCTAAACTCCCTGTGCCTGGACTATTATGTACCAGACTTTCCTCTTCAGTGTGCTGGGCTCAGAGACTGTCCTAAGGGCCACTCCAAACTGGCCTCTGGCCCAGAGCTGCCCCCACATTTGTGTCTTCAGGGAAAACCCGTAAGCATGCTCTTCAGCACCTCTTTATTCTGCTTGACCTGTACCCCAGGAATATCAGGCTGGGAAGAGAGTGGTACCTTCTCAGGTTCCAACTCAGTATCAGGCCAGAAGATATTTCTCTGAGTCCCGACCTCTTGAATGTCTTGGAGGTCCAGGTCTGGAAACTCCTCATCCTCTGAGTTTTGCTGGAAGAGTATGTCAGGGTTGGGGGTGAAGCATGGCTGTGTTACATTGACAATGGAGGTGAAACAGGGCCTGGTAGTGGTGATGGTGGTGGCAGACTCCAGAAGGCATCCAGGTAGTGAGAAACTGTTAGGGGGCAGGGCGGGAGGAGCCTCCTGATGCTCTGTTGTGTTGTTAGGTGCTGTCAAGTCCAATATGACTCCTAGTGACTCTGTGAACAGCAGATCTGAACCCTTTTCTATCCTGTGCCATCCTTATCACCTCCTTCTGAGGTGGGAGCCCCATGACCATGGAGAAAGGCACAAGCGAGAGTGTGGAGTCCCAGAGAGCAGTGCCACATGACCACAGGCCCCAGGCGTGACACAGGCAGTGTGACCACAGACATTTTGTGGTTTAGATGTGTCTCGCAATACATGGAACATTAAACCATATCGGTCTTGCTTCTCTGAACACGTTGTGGACATTAAGTGACCTGTGTAGTTATTTGTTTAATCCCATGTTCCACTAGTTCGGAAGCTACATGAGGACAAGAAATGTATTTGTTTTATTCAACACTGTATGTCCAGCTAGTGCCTTGTGTAGAGTCGGACACATAGCATTTTCTTAATAAATGTTTGTTGTACAAATGTTGAATGAAAATTAAAAAAAAAGAATTAGAGAAACAGGTTTGGTGAGGGAAGTGGATGAGTTTGAATTTAGATACGTGATATTTTAGTGGGAGATATAATTCTTTTGTTTAAGCAGATAGAAATATAGAGCTGCAGCTCCATCGAGATCAGTGGCCTAGTTTCACTGCTAACTCAAAGGCCTTGCCTCTCTGGTGATTCGAATCTACCAGCATCTCCTCAGAAGAGAGATAGACAGTCTCCTCCCATGTGATTTACAGCCTTGGAAATCCAATGGAAGGTTTTACAGCCGTCAAAACTGGTTCTGACTCCATGGCAATGGGTATAGTGCATATAGCTCTCTTAGGAGGCTGGGGTGAAATGGAGATTCCTTTGAGGAATATCAGGGAATCAGGGACTATATTTTATTTCTCTCTTAAATACCCTGTAATTATAGCACAGTCTTTTTCATAAAAATACAGCTGACAAATACTTAAGGAATTGAATGGAGGTACTAGAGACACTAACTCATTGGAAATCACTGTGAAGACAGCTGATGAGACCAAGGACAGAAACTTGCAACTAGAATGTGGGTCATGAAGAGGAGTCAGCAAGGGTGACTCAACATAACCAGAATGGGCCTCATCATAGTAATATCCTCCCCAAACAAACTTCTGACTTATTCTTGTTTTCTTCTTCTTCTTGCTGTATACCCTCCAGTGAGTTTTCAGAAACATTCAATCACACGGGAGGAGCTTGCCATCTTTTTCCTGCTGAGCAGCTGGTTGGTAGATTCAAACTGTGTGCCTTTGGGTCAGCAGTACCAACTCCAAACTAGACTCCCTGATTCTTGTTATAGGCGTTGCTATACAGTTTTGAAACTTTAAAATTGTATGATTCTTCTCACTCCCTCTCATACTTAACCGAACCAGTTCTGCTGAGTTCTACAGATTCGTTTATGTTATGTGACTTTCTTTTCATGATTATAAAATCACATTATAGACAATTTATAAGATGAGGGAAGGTATAAATAGGGGCGAAAAACCACTTAAACCTGACCATCAGATGCAACCACCATTCATTTCCATTAAGTATTTATATATAGTCTATATAAATTTATCCTATCTCCATACCTTTTCAACCTATATGCAGAACAGATTATCCGAGAGGCTGGGCTCTATGAGGAGAAATGTGGGGTCAAGATTGGTGGACGATTTATCAACAATCTGCGTTATGCGGATGACACAACCCTGCTTGCTGAAACTGAGGAGGACCTGAAGCGCCTGCTGCAGAGTGTCAAGGACTACAGCCTCCAATATGGATTGAGGCTCAATGTCAAGAAGACAAAGATTCACACCACTGGACCAATTGGCAGCATCAGGATGGATGGTGAAGAGATTGAGATTGTACACAGCTTTAGTTTGCTTGGCTCCACAGTCAACAGTCTTGGCACCCGCAGCCAGGAAATTAAAAGGCGCATTGCCATGGGAAAGTCTGCTGTTAGGGACCTCTCCAAAGTGCTGAAGAGCAGTGGTGTCTCTCTGGAGACTAGGTGCGTCTGATATAGGCCATGGTCTTCGCAATCACCTGTTATGCATCAGAGAATTGGACAATGACCAAGGAAGATAGAAGGAGAATTGATGCCTTTGAGCTGTGGTGCTGGAGAAGAGTACTGAGAATACCATGGACTGCTAGGAAAACAAACAGATTTGTCCTGGAGAGGGTTAAACCGGGTGGCTCCTTGGAGGCAAGGATTCTGAGGCTCCATCTAACTTACTTTGGACATGTTGTGAGGAGAGACCAGTCCTTAGAGAGGGACATCATGCTTGGGAGGGTGGAGGGACAGCGCAGGAGAGGAAGGCCCTCTATGAGGTGGACTGATTCAGTGACTGGGATAATTGGGATGGGAGTGTCAGAGACAGTGTGATTGGCACAGGACAGAGCGGAGTTTAGGGCTGTTGTACATAGGGTCGCTATGAGTCGCAGGCGACTCGACGGCACATAACAACAATAACAACATATAAATTTATGTATATATAATTTGGAAGCAGGAGTGGCATCCACTTCCTAAACAACGTGCCTCTGGAAACTCTGTGAACTTTGATAAATGACAATAGTTAAAAACCTTCAGGCCTTTTTATAAGGGTTGCTGTGAGGCATGCTCGACTCAATGGCAATCAACAGTAACAACTATATATAATTATATATTTATATATTCTAGCTCTTAAATAACCTGTTTTCCTTCATACTTCCACCAGCCTAAATTGAATCCTTTACTCGTTGCCACATGACTGGACCTCAGTTGGCCTCATAAATGGCCCCCCTGCATCTCTTTTTTCCCATCTCCTCTACGCTTGACCCGCCATTGCCAGATTTAGCCGATGAAAATGCATAGCTGATTGGAATGCTTCAGTGCACAAAAGCTCTCTGTTTTCTCCTGCTCCACAGAGGATTAAGTAATAACTCCCTCATTTGGCATTCAGAGCTCCATGTTCCAGGCCTGAAGGAGCTCCAGTGGCATAGTAGTTTAAGTGTTTGGGCTGGTAACTTACAAGTCAGCAGTTCAAACACACTAGCCACTCAGAGAGAAAGAGAGGCAGTTGAGATTTACCACCTCTGAAACCTATTGACCTCATGACTGAGAAAATAGATTTGATAGCAGTGGTCTTTTCGTTTCTGCTCAAATTCAGTGACACTAAATTTGAGCCAAGTTGAGAGGAAGCTTCACGTGATTTCTTCCTCTATGTCACTGGATGTAACTTCTCTTTCCTTTCAACTGAAGATAACAGTCAGGAGTAATGACCAGGAGTTAGATGAAGGGGTGAGTGGTTTTCTAAGTTATTTGCATTAAGCATAGTTATTTTTTAAAATTTATAATTAAGTTCAGTGAAAATTTACAGAGACTTAGGATTTCCATTCATTCATTGTTGCACTTTTCTCCCTGCCCACTCCTCACCTCCCCCCCCAGTACATTCTTCTCTTTGAAAAGTAAAATTCTTTCATTGTTTTACAATCCCTCCCCCCAGGTCCACTCCACTATACAGCCTTCACTCTGGACTTCTGTCATGACAAAAATACCTAATCATTTTCCCTCTTAAACAGTTTTCTCCCTCATCTGTTTCAATGCAGTATACATTATTGAACCCATCCTTCTCAGTCTCCTCGCAACCCCAAGGTCTGTCCTGCTTTACAACAGTGGAACCATGCAGTATCTGTCCTTTTGTGACTGAGATACTTCACTCAGTATAATGTCCTCCAGGGTCACCCATTTTGAATAATATTGTGTGAGTTCCTTGTTTTTCAATGCAGCATAGTATTTCTTTTTTTCCCCCTCTGTCTCTTTTTTGGTAATTTTTATTTTAATAATTTTAATGAACATTTACTGGATTTCCATTCATTCATTGCTGCACTTCTTTCCCTGCCCAGCCCTCCCTCCCCCCACCAGTTCGCTCCTCTCTTTGAAAAGTACTAGAAAAGCTCCCTCCCTGGTACACAATCCCCCCGCACCCCTATCTCGGCCCCAAGTACATTCCACTTTGCAACCTTAATTGTGGACTCTTGTGATAACCATAATACCCTAGCAGCATAGTATTTCATTGTATATACCACAGCTTCTCTATCCATTTGTTTGTTTATGGGCACTTAGGTTGTTTCCAACTCCTTGCTATTGTGAACAAAGCCGTGATAAACATGGGTGTTCATATATCTGCTTGGATGTCAGTTATGGTCTCTTTGGGGTATAGTCCCAGTAGTGGAACTGCTGAGTCGAATGGTATCTCTATTTGCAACTTTTTGAGAAAGCGCCATACCGCCTTCCACAGTGGTTGCACCAAGCATAGTTATTTTTATAATGGAAGAAAAAAAATCCTAAGAAATTACTTAGCCGTTCATTGGGAGGTTGCAGCATGCAAGGGAGGTTGTCAGGAGGTGGAGCGGAGGAAGCAGCAGAGAAGAGGAGCCGTGATGTAGGACAGGGCCACAGGCGCACAGGAGGGTTGGGTAAGCACAGCTGGAGGGATCTGCCTTGGAAAAGAGCAAGAATATCTTTCCACTGATACAGAAAATGAGAGGAAAGCCAAATAGATGACTACATGGAGAAATGGCACTGTAACGGCTATAGAGACGTGTCGACTGTGCTCACAATAAATAAGATGCAAGGCTAGATGATGCTAACACTCTTCTGGCTCAGAAATGATGATTCTGTTAAATGGGTAACTGGATGGATTCTCATCTGAAATAGCTTCTGTGGCCTCTGAGTGACCAATATACTTTATCTCCCTCAGCTTCCTGGAAAAAAGGACTTGTTCATTGAGGCAGATCTGATGAGCCCTTTGGATCGAATTGCCAATGTCTCCATCCTGAAGGTACCTGTTCCTTTCCCCATATAAGTTCATATTATGATCATCTTTACTTACCAGGGCTCTGATAATTTTTTTAAAAAGAAACAGTTGAAAATACTGAAACATGTTATATTAAATGTAGGAAAGCTGAATTGAATGGAAAAGTAGGGGGTGGGTTGATGCTGTTGGGATTATCTTGTACTAGTTAAGTTTGGTTTCCTTATTGACAGTGTGAAGGCAGCTCATGGGATGGTTGGTCAGAGACAATTTGATACTTAGAATTAGCATAAATAGGACTTTATAGAGGCTCACTGTGTTTGTATCAGGCCTTCTGCATTTCAGGCACTTATATCTGCTGTACTGTTTGTTGGATTCTCTCTGTAGCAACACGAAGTGGACAAGTTGTACAAGGTGGAGAACAAGCCAGTGCACAGCTCCAGTGAACAGTGAGTGTCCAGAAGAGTCTGTCTCGGCTCAGCTGAGCATCTCTGCGTCTATACTGTGCCTATCTTAGGGCTCTCTGGTGTTTGAGTATCGCGATGGGAAAGTCTGCTGTTAGGGACCTCTCTAAGGTACTCAGGAGCAACAGTGTCTCTCTGGAGACTAAGGTGCGCCTGATACAGGCCATGGTATTTGCAATCGCTTGTTATGCATCAGAGAGTTGGACAATGACTAGGGAGGACAGAAGGAGAGTGGATGCTTTTGAGCTGTGGTGCTGGAGAAGGGTACTGAATGTACCATGGACTGCCAGGAAAACAAACAGATTCATCTTGGAGAGGATTAAACCAAGCTACTCCTTGGAGGCAAGGATTCTGGGGCTTCGTCTGACATACTTTGGACATGTTGCCAGGAGGGACGGATCCTTGGAGAGGGACATCATGCTTGGGAGGGTGGAGGGACAACGCAGGAGGGGAAGACCCTCTATGAGATGGATTGATTCGGTGACTGGGGTAATCGGGATGGGTGTGTCAGAAGCGGTGCGGTTGGCGCAGGATAGAGCAGGGTTTAGGGCTGTTGTGCATAGGGTCGCTATGAGTCGGAAACGACTCGACGGCACATAATAACAACAACAACAACAACATTCATTTTAAAGAACATTTACAGAGATTTTGCTTGAACTTTTTATTTCATGCCTATGTTATTGCTCTAGCCTCTTGTCTTAGTTGTGTAGTTTTGCTTTAACAGAAATACCAAAAGTGAGCAGCTCTTATAGAAATGTATTTTCTTACAGTTTGTTGTCATTGCCATCAAGTTGAGTACAACTCATAATAACCCTGTGAACAACAGTTCTGAACTCATACTTGTCCTGTGCCGTCCTCACTACCTGTGACACACTCAAACCCATTGCTGCAGTCACTGTGTCAGTCCACCTGGTGGAGGATCTTCCTGTCTTTCGCCGAAACACCTTTCCAATCATGATGTCCCTCCCCAAGGAGTAGCCTCTCCACACCCAGAGTATGTGAGAGGAAGCTTTATCATCTTTGCCTCCAAAGAGAATTCTGACTTCACCGTCTTCAGGACATATCTGTTTGTTCTTTAGTCAGTCCATGGGATTCAGTATTCTTCTCTAACATCACAGTTCAAAAACATCAATTCTTCTGTCATCTTTATTCATTGTGCAGGTCTAAGCAACATAGTAAGTGATTGAAAAGATCATGCCTGAGTCAAATGCACCTTAGTCCTCAAACTAACATTATTACTCCTCAAGAATTTTGAGAAGTCCTTGACTACAGACTTTTCCAGTACAGTATAGTACAGTACAGTCTCCTTATCTCCTGATTGCTGGTACTAAGTGTATTGATTGTTGTTGTTTGTTGTTGTTATGTACTGTTGAGTTGCAACTCAAAGCAACCCTATGGACAACAGCCCTGAAACCTGCTCTATCCTGTGTCAACTTTACTGTCTGACACACCTACCCTCATAACCCTAGTCACTATATCAGTCCATCTCATCGATGGTCAGAGTGTGTTGATTATGGATCCAGGTAAGATGAATTGGTTGAGACTTTGAATTGTTTCTCTGTCTATCATGATGTTGTATTGATCTAGAGGTGAGAACTTTTGTTTTCTTGATGTGAGATGCAGTCCAAAATGAAGACTGCAGTGTTTGATCTTTTACAGCAAGTGCTTTAAGTCCTTCTCACTCTCAGTAAGCAAAGTTGTGTCATCTGCCTCATGAAGGTTCTTAATAAGTGTTCCTCCAGTCCTGATACCATATTCTTCTTCATAGAGTCCAGCTTCTCGAATAATTTGCTCAGCATACAAATTGAACAGGTATGGAGAAAGGATACAACACTGATGCACACCTTTCTTAATTTTAAACCATATAGTGTTCCCTTGCTCTGTTTGCACAACAGCCTATTGGTCTAGGTGTAGGTTTCACATGAGCCCAGTTAAGCATTCTGGGATTCCCCTCCTTTTCAATCTTAGCCATAGTTGTTATGATGCACACAGTCAAATAAAGAACAAATAGACATTCTTCTGATATTCTTTGCTTTCCACCAGGATCCATCTGACATTAGCAGTGATATTTCTGGTGCCATGGCCTCTTATAAATCCATCTTAAACATGTTACAGTTTAGAGGGCTGAAAGTCTAAATTTAGAGTACCAGCTCCAGAGGAAGGCTTTCTCTTTGTGTCAGTGCTAGAGGAAGGTCGCTGTCTCTTTTCACTTCTGTTTCTTGGAGATCTCGTGAGGCAGGGCATTTCTCTTTCCCCATCTGTGCTTTCTTGCTCAGTCTGTTCTTTTATGTATCAAAAGAGATTGATTTAATATATACTTTACATTTCCACAGTCCAGGAATTGATGTAATACCAGTTGAGGTATTTCAGGGAATCATTTGAAGCTCTGAACATGCTCACCAGTCTATGCCATCAAATTTGGAAGACAGCTCTCTAACCAACTGACTAGAAGAGATCCATATTTAGTTCCATTCAGAAAAAAGGTGATCCAATAGAGTGTGGAAATTGGTGAACAATGTTAGTATCACATGCAAATAAAACCTTTCTAAAGATATTTAATAAATGGCTTTAACAGTGCATGAATACCACCTGATGCTCCACTGGGGAAGGAAGGGCAGTCTCCTCCTGTGCCAGTCAGATCCGATTCAATGGTACACAAAAAGAAAACAACAACAAAGACAGTGCATGAGTAGAGAGTGGCCAGAAATTAAAGCTGGATTCAGAAGAGGCTGTGGTACAAGGGCTATCATTGACAATGTCAGATGGAGTGTGGCAAAAAACAGAATACCAGAAAGATATTTCTTATGTTTTATTGATTATGCAAAGATACTTGACTCTATGTATGATAACAAATTATAAATAACATTGAGAAGAATGAGAATCTTAGAACATTGAATTGTGTTTATACAAAAGCTATATACATAGAGAGACAGTAGGTAGCCAAACAAAACAAGGTAATACGACATGGATTAAAATCAGGAAAGGTGGTAAGGCAGTGGTGATGGCGGCAGCGAGAAGATGAACAACAAATTCAGTGCCTTGAAAGATGATGACAGTGGGGACCATGATCAGAATGAAGAAAACAGCACACAGAAAGATGGTGAGAAGGAAAAAACAGAACGCGACAAAGATCCGAGCAGCAGCAAGAGGAAGGCTGTGGTCCCTGGATCAGCAGAGCATCCCCTGCAAACAGCTACACCTTCTGGGACTCCAGGAGGACTCCTGGCTGGCCCCAGCTCACAAAGCTACAAGCAGAACATCAAGCAGATCAGCACCTTTGCCTCTGTGGAGCAGTTCTGGAAGTTTTACAGCCACATGGTACGTCCTGGGGACCTGACAGGCCACAGTGACTTCCATGTCTTCAAAGAAGGAATTAAGCCCACGTGGAAGGATCATGCAGATAAAAATGGTGGCAAATGGTTTATGTGACTACGGAAGAACTTGGCCTCCCATTGCTGGGAGAACCTCATCCTGGCCATGTTGGGGGAGTAGTTCATGATTGGGGAGGAGATCTGTGGGGCTGTGGTCTCTGTCCGGTTTCAGGACATTATCTCAATATGGAACAAGACTACCAGTGACCAAGCAACCACAGCCCGAATCTGGGACACATTTTGGCAAGTGCTTAACCTACCTTCCAATTCCATTATGGAATACAGCATCAAAATGCCAGGCAGGCTCTGACCTTGTCCCTTTCTGGATGGCACTGCCACTGAAGCTGGCACCATCAGAGTCTCTTGTCTTGTTGGCATGCTACCCAGAAGAGACTTCTGTCCTGGGGAAGAGGAGCTGGAAGAGCGTTTGGTGTTTTAAGAACAGGCTGACATGCAGCAACTACAACCACTGCTGAGATCTCTTAAAAAATGGTGCTAAACTGAGAAAAAATATCAGGAAAGATATACATCAGAGTTGTATCCTTTCTCCATACCTATTCTGTCTGTTTGCTGAGTAAATGATTCAAGAAACTGTACTCTATGAAGAAGAATGTGACATCAGGATTGGGTGAAGACTCAACAGCCTGTGTTATGTAGATGACAGTCTTGCTTATAGAAAGTGAAGTAGACATAAAACACCTGCTGCAGAATATCACCAAAGACTACAATATGGGTGCCATCTCAATATCAAGAAAACAGAAATCCTCACAACTGGATCAAAAGGCAACATCGTGATTTGTTGTTGTTTTGTGCTGTCGAGTCACCTGTGACTCCTAGCGACCTTATGTACAACATCCCTAAACCCTGCTCTATCCTGGGCCAATCTCATTGTCTCTCTCCAAGGACTGGTGCCTCCTTGCAACATGCCCAAAGTATGTCAGATGAAGCTTCAGGACCCTTGCCTCCAAGGAACAGCCTGGTTTCACCCTCTCCAGGACGAACCTGTTTGTTCTTTTAGCAGACATGATATAATCAATACCACAGCTCAAAGGCATCAGTTTTCCTTCTATCATCCCTAGTCATTGTCTAGCTCTCTGATGCATAGCAAGTGATTGCAAAGACCATGGCCTGTATCAAGCATACCTTAATCTCCAGACTGACATCGTTGCTCTTTAGTACTTTGGAGAGGTCTCTACCAGCACACTTTCCCAGTACAATATGTCTTTTAGTTTCCTGGTTGATGGTGTCAAGAGTGTTGATAGTGGATCCAAGCAGACTGAAGTGGTTAACAATCTCAGTCTCTTCACCATCTATCGTGATGTTGCCAGTCAGCCCAGTGGATATTTCCAACTGTGGAAATATCTTTCATCTGCTCTTTTCCATAAAGTGCTTGTCAGTCAGATACTGTTCTAAATCTGAGCATTCAGGTTAAGACAGACTAGAAAGAAGGACTGGCCATCCACTTCCGAAATAGCAGGCCTTGGTAACCCTCTGTACAATAGAACACACTTAGACTAGCAGATAGGGCAGCTGAGGTAGAGCCCTCAAGTGTGGAAACACAAAGGAAAAGGAAGTGGACATTAGTGATTGGAACATGGAATGTGAGAATTATGAATGTAGGAAACTTAAATATTGTTAAGGAAGAAATGGAATGAATAAATAGTGACATATTAGGTGTTGGCAAGAAGAGATGGACTGACATGGGGTATTTTGAGTCAGACGATCATATGATCTACTATGCTGGAGATGAAAAAGTGAGGAAAAATGGGGTTGCTTTCATAATTAAAAAAGAAAATATGATAGATGGAGAAAATTTGAAGTTGTCAGCAATTTAATTTTATTTGATCTACAGTCAACACCTATAGTAGCAGCATCCAAGAAGGCAAAAGACATGTATGTTGCTTTGGGAAAATTACTGTCAGGGACCTCTGACAGTAATTTAGAGTGCTAAAGAGCAAAGATACTGTTTTTTGTTTTTGTTTCCGCCCCCCCCATTTTTAAAATTAATTTTAATGAAAGTTTACAGAGACTTTGGATTTCCATTCATTCATTGTTACACTTCTCTCCCTGCCCAACCTCCCCCCACCCAAAGATATCATTTTAAAGACTAAGATACACCTGATTCAAGGGTTCTTCAGTTACTTCCTAGACATTTGACAACTGGATCATTAATAAGGAAGACTGAAGAAGAATAGATACCCCTTGAATTGTGGTGTTCATGTAAGTATTGACCATACTGTGAACTACCAAAAACTCAGATTTGTCTTGAAGGAAGTGCCACCAAGGTGCTCCTTAAGGCAAGAATGGTGAAACTTCATCTCACATAATTAGGGCATGTTTTCAAGAGGGGCCAGTTCTTAGAAAATGATACCATACTGGGGAAAAAGAAAAAGAGAGGAAGATCCTCAACAAGATAGATTCACACAGTGACTACCATAATGGACTTGAATATGACAGAGCTGATGAGGCTAGTACAGGATAGGGCACGGTTCAGATCTGTTGTTCAGAGGGTCGCTATGAGTGGTAGCAGACTTGATGACACCCAACAATAACGTAATGAAGAAAATCTATTCCCAAAAGGAATTACAACCATAGGTATAGGGATTAGAATCTTTGTGAGGAAACCAAATTATCCATAATACCACCGGATTGGTCCATTTCTGTGATTTCTTCCACTCTTGTCCTTTTCTCTCCTAAACCAAATTACCAGATTACCCATTCAAGAATATTTCCATTTTACTCTTCTCAAGAACCCTCAAAGTTTTCATGACTTCTCAAGAAAAGTCCAAACTGCTCATCACAGAGCCCAAGACACTCTCAGAGTGACCTCACTGCCTTCCCAGGCTTGTCTCTCAGATGCTCCCTTCCAGCCTCCACAATGTGCATGTGCCTGCTGCCAGGCACTCCATTCAATTAGCTGAAATTCTCACCTGTCTTCTGCTCCTGTAAAGAATAGCCCTTGCTTAGAGCCCAGTCTCACTTCCCCCTTGAAGCTCTGTTTCCCATCCAGCATGGAGGGACTGGTCCTTGGAGAGGGACATTATGTTTTGGAGGATGGAGGGACAGCGCAAGAGAGGAAGACCCTTGTTGAGGTGGATCGATTCAGTACCTAGGGTAATGGGGGTAAGTGTGTCAGAGACAGTAAGGTTGGCACAGGATAGAAAAGGGTTTAGGGCTCTTGTACATAGGGTTGCTATGAGTTGCAGGTGACTCGACAGCATATAACAATAACAACAACAACAGATTTCCTTGGGGTTTTGTGTTTTGTCTAGTCACACAACCATATACTGCTGTTACCTGGTTTTAGTAATATATACCCTCTGTTATAGGGAAATATGTCCATGGAAACTCATTTGAAAGAACATTATTGTACTTTCTTGTATCAATTATTCTTTACACTTGAATTTTAATATAATTCTATGTATGTGTGCATCTTATTTTTACATTGGATTGTAAAGAATTTGAGAGCAGGAGCTTCTGGATCCACTATAGGGCTAAAAATGCTTTTAGCTTATCTCACATAGTGAATTCAGGTATATCAACTGTAAACCAAGAGAGCTGGCATAACTTTGGCTTTGATCAGAACAATAGACCTCTTAACAAGAAGGGCAGATGATGCAAATGGGGAAAGAGTGGTATGATTTCACTTTCTTCTAAGGTATCATCACCAACTTACTGATTTTTTTCTTTTCCCATCAAATTGTTCTTTTTCTTTTTTTCTTCTCTCCCACAGATTGTGCTTTTTGGTCAGACCTCGCATCAAGAATATGCGCTACATCGCCAGTGAGTAGGCCAGGAGACCGCATTGTATCTAAAACCTGGGGAAGGGGAGGCAAGATCCATGTGCTTTGTCTGTAAAGACCTATGAATAAGAGAAGAATTGTTCATGTTGTCTACACCATTTGTGGAGAGTATCTGACTCCTTGCTTCAAGTTTAGCAAGTCACCCTTGACCTTCTGAGTCATATTCCTTCTCTCTGTAGATCTTGTCAATACTGACAAATTGGCTGGCCGAACTCGAAAATATAAAGTAATCTTCAGCCCTCAGAAGGTAAGTTTTGATCCTGCTGCAAATAAAGAACAGGATTGAGACTGGGAAGGGACAAGTGGTCCCACAATTCTAACTCACTCCAAACAAATTATAGTCGACTGAAAAAAACACATAGATGAGCCATTTTTTGGTAAATCCCTGATTGTTTAGCAGCTCTTGTGGCATAGTCTCATTGGAAGGAATGATTTACCAGGTGTTTGCATTACCAGTTATAGACCCATAAAGCTATATGAAACCCTCCCGATGCATCCATGGGATGCAGTTAATTAGTAAATTTTTTATTGTTTTTGAGTGTGACTCAGTACTCTTTTTGGGATGCAGTTAATTAGTAAATTTTTTATTGTTTTTGAGTGTGACTCAGTACTCTAATGTGTAAACATACCATAATTTCTTTATCCATCCATCTTTTGATGGACACCAGCTTGCTTTCATGCATTTAACTTTTCATTTAACTAAGAAAATTCCAAAGCTTTGTCTGAAAACTCCCAATCCTCATTATTAACAAAGGGAGTCTGTGGAAAAGATAAAGAAGACATTTCCTCTTCCCTAAACTGAAAGAAGTTGCTTCCTGTGGACAAATAATATATAAAAAGCTAAGGAAAGGTTCCTCTGTTATGAAATTCTAAGGACAGGAGTCCAGTCAGGTTGGAGTTCCTGAGAATGGCACAGGATAGGGCATGGTTCTGGTCTGGCATAGTTAATGCAATGGCACCTAGCAGTAACAACAAGGAAAGGTTTACACAGAGATAGAATCTTCCTTGGGTGGTTGATTACTAGGTAAGGGAAGGGAGGAAGTAAGGAGTAAAAATTAGCAGATAAGTAATGGACATATACTTATATGGATAAAAGGAAAGACAAAATCCAATATGGTTGAACAGTATCACTAAAAAAGCTAAGACAGAGAAGGATTAATGGAAATCAGAATTATAGGGAGGAAGTGGGACAAGTGTGATTACATTGTGTGTATGGAAATTAGTGTTATAGAACAAAACTGGTATCAGTAGTCGGATGAAAAATTAACTTACTTGTTAAATACATTTTGTTATGGATGATACATAAATTCAGGAATGGTTGATGATTGAAAACCATGATGAATTTATTTAATTAATGGCACTGAACTATACATGTGAAGATTGTTGACATTTCAAGCAAGCAAGAAATTTAAATCAGGCTTGTAGATTTGAGTTTTGCTGGCAGAAATGAGTGAGAGATAAATAGAATTTTTCTGGGTAGCTGTAAGATAAGGCATACATATTAGCTTTAACATTCACATCTCAAAATTGTTTAAGTTTAAAACAGGTTGTCATTATAAAACTTTTAAGAACAGTGTCGCATATATATTAAGTGATTAATAAATACTAGTTCTGATTATTGCCACATTACTGTTGTTGTAAAGGGCCTTCCAGTCAACTATGACTCATCCACCCTGTAACCTCTGTCCTATCTTGTGCCATCCTCAGCATCATTGACACATTTGAGACCATTGCCTCAAACACTGTATCAGTCCATCTCATTGAGGGTCTTCCTCTCCTTCAGTGACCCTCAACCTTTCCAAGCATGATGCCCCTTTCCAGGAAATCGCCTCTTCTGTCAATATATCCAAAATATATGAGGTGAAGCTTCATCATCCTTGCATCCAAGGAACGTTCTGGTTGCACTTTATCCAAGAATTATCTTTTTATTCTTTTGGTAGTCTATGGGATATCAGTACTTTTCTAGAACATCAAAACTCAAAGATATCTGTTCTTCTCCTGTTGTCTTCCTTCATTGTTCAGCTCTCAGATGTGTGGCAGGCGACTGGAAAGACTCAGGTACATCTTAGTCTTTAAAGTGACATCATAGCTCTTTAGGACTTTGGAGAGATCTCTGACTGTTGACTTGTTATCCCTAAGGATGTAAAAATGCCCTCAACTTTATTCCTCAGTGCTTCCAAGTCATTTATCCTTTTCTCACTTGTCTTAAAGAGATCCTGGCTTTCTTTCCATGCTTGATATTCTGCCTGTGCTCTTAGCCCCATCCCAAGCTGTCTTCCCCCCTGTAATGCTTCATCAGGCAAACTGTCTTCCATCTTCAGTTGTGTTTATTCCTTTCTAAACAGTTTTTCCCTTTCATCTTTTTTTTTAAATGAAAGAATCTCCTTTTTTTTTCATGGCAAGACTTTTACAAAGAATTATCTGTAATCATTCCTTCTGCTGCCTTACCTCCACTTTCTTCTTTAAATCTAATCTCTCCAAGATTTATGTTGTCAAATTCAGTGATATCTATCTAATGCTCATCCTAATTAACCTTTCTGGCTTGTGACAAAATTGCCTATTTCTTCTGGAAATTATGCCTTCCTCTGACTACAGAACAATTACCTTTGAGTTAATTCTGACTTTCCAGTGATATAGGACATAGTGGAACTGCCTTACAGGGTTTTCAAGGCGATAATCTTTCTGGAAGCAGGCTGCCACATCTTTCTTCCATGGAACAGCTATGAGTTTGAACCACCAACCTTTTAATTGGCAGCCAAGAGCTCAACCATTGTGCTACCAAGACTCCTTCCCTGCTTCCATCAAACTCAACTCATTGACATTGAGTTGGAACTGAACTCATAGCTGACCCTACAGGGGCTTTCAGAGGCTCTTAATTGCATAGAAGGAGATTGTCCATCTTTCTCTTATGAAGCAGCTGCTGCCTTTTGGTTGGCATGCAACTCCCTACACTTGGCCACCAGAGTTCTCTAAAATCATTGCCATTGAGTCAGAACAGAATCGTAGCTGTATCTCCAGTGGGTTTTCAGAGGCTGTAAATAGCACTGTAAATTGTAAAAGTGACAAATTGCCCACCTTTCTCCCTTGGAGCCACTGGTGGATTTGAACCATGCTCCTTTGTGTTGGCAGTGCAACTCCCTACCCACTAGGCTACCAGAGTGATACTATTTTCTCCTGCACCTGCTTTTTCTTGATGTCTTTCTTAGCCTTCTCTGGCAGGTCTTCCATTGTGTGTCCCGTTAACCTCTTTGTTTATTCCTCAGGATCCCAGCTTAGCTCTCTTCTCACCCTGTAGTCTTTCTCTTAGGCAAATCTCTCATTTCAACAATGACATGTGCCATTGTTCACACGGCTGTATGTCCAGACATTTTTGCTGATACCTGTGTTTCTAGAGGTCCCAGGGACATGTCCTAAATAGAACTAAGTTTCTAACACTATTCTTTATCTCCTACTTGTTCTTTTTCTACCATTTCTGTAGCACTTCCTCCCGTCTCTGGCTTTAGCACTCACCCTTCAAAGATGGCTAGAATACCATAGGCTTGGGCCTCTGAGAGAGAAGTAAAATGTATGGAAAGGACAGTCAAGTGTTAGGCCAGGTAACTGTAGTGATCCTTGCTAGTTCTAAGAGTTTGGGTTCTTTTGTCGTTTTACTAATTTATATAATTATGCTCTTATCAGTAAACGTAGATGAGTTCCAGAGAAATAGAACAGGAGACGGTCACTAATCAACTGGCTTTTCTTTTCCAGTTTTATGCATGTGAGATGGTGCTCGAAGAAGAGGGAATCTATGGAGGTGAGAAGAAATGAATGTGAGTGGAAAGAGAGAGACAACATTTGGGGAAAGGAAAATTATTTTTGTCTCTCTCATTGTCTTTTTCTTATCTTACTGTTGACATAGCAGGAGGAGAGAGGCCCCTTAGAATGGAGATAGAGTAGGACCTCAAATTAGAATAGTGGTGGGATAGCCTAAAAGAGAAGCCGTGGCTTGTATATTTGGACATGACCGTTGCTTTATTCTTATCTTTGAAGATTCTCACAGGAAGGATTGTGGCTTTTCTCTCCCTAGTATTCTTCACTCCGTTTCCCCATGTAGCACAAACTTGACCACCATATGCCCTGAAAAATGCTGCAGTGCCTCAGAATTAACCCACAGTCCTCACATGGCTCCCCACACCTCGTGCAGTCTGGCCCCTTCCTGACCTTTAAGGCATATCACGTGTTGCTCCTTTTGACTTGCTAACCCCAGGGCCTTTGTATGTGCTGTTCTTGCTGCCTGGGATGTTCCCCACCTCACAAATTTTTGCCAGCCCAAATCTTGTTCACATTCTAAGCTTACATGACAGTTCTTTAGAGAAGTCCTTCCTTTACCCGTGGTTGAGGTGAGATCCCTGTAATACAGTGATGTATCTGTCACTTAAAGTCCATGGGAGCAACATCCAGCAGCAGGTACCCACAAGACTTTTTAGAGAGAAAGCAACTCTTTATGTACTGTTTTCCTCTAATGATTTTAAAGACCCCTAAATCCAGGTTCTTGCCCCGTTGGACCACAGGTGGGACATTAGTAGGTGAGACGCAAGTTATGGTTCTGGGCACCAGGCTCACAGGCTTCGCCCAGGAAACAGTGGGGTAGAATAGAGGGCAGGACTGGGCACATTCCCTATCTTGCCTGACTGCTTCCTCTCACTCTGCCCTCAGAGCTGTCACTGTGGCTGCTCCTGTTGCTGTCACCCATTCTTCAGCCTCTGCCGCAGCTTTAGTGGCAGCAGTGACAAGGACAGCTAGAACAAGTGCCCAAGAGGGGATAGATAATGAACACTGCATTGGAACAGATGAAGGAAAGAACTGTTTAAAAGGAATATGTGATTAGGCATTGTTGGTGTGACAGCAGTCCAGAATAAGAGGTGCATTGCAAAGTGGACTGGCGGAGGGGAGGGAGGATATTGTGCAACACTGAATGAATATTTTTTTAAAAAAGTGAACTGGCTGGGGTGGGTAGAGGGAAAATGTGCAATAATGAACGAATGAAAATTCAACTTTTCTGTATGCTTTTGTTAAAATCACATTGAGAAGAACCCCACAAAATGCCCATAAGGTTTTAATATGGTGTTTGCATGTTTGCACAGTATCTAAATGACATAATTCCGTATTTCACAGAATGTGTTGTAGACCTTAAGTGATGTGTATCTATGTTAGAGACTGTTGTTTTATGTCTTTAGATCACAGTTGTAATAAAATGATCTGTGTAATAAAGATTACACAGTCATGTGTAATGGAATTATTACACAGTCTTTTGTATTAAGATTGCGTCTTACCTGTGAATCCTCAGTGCTTAGCATAGACCTTTTGTGTGGCAGCCACTCTGGTGTTTGTTTCATGGCGGTAGTGGACCATCCTTTTAATGCGGAGCTGAGTGCCTTCTGCAGGGAGTCTGATGTTGTCTGTACCCGCAGATGTGAGCTGTGATGAATGGGCCTTCTCCTTGCTGCCTCTTGATGTGGACTTACTGAGCATGGAGCTACCAGAATTTTTCAGAGACTACTTCTTGGTGAATGCACGGGCCTCGGGTCTTGGCATCAAGGGAAAGGATGGGAGGAAAACAGATGATCTGGGCGGGATAGAGATATTGAGGTAGCCTTAGTTCCAGGCATATGATTGCCACGCTTGACAGTGATTTAGTGATTGAGTGCTACTGATGCGTGAGGTTCGTGGGACCTGCTCTGAGCCAGTTAAAATAAACTCACATGTGTCCCTGGCCTTGCCTTCCTGCTCTAGGGCTTTTAGGGCCAGCTACTCTGCACTTGAGCCTATCAGGGTGATTTAAATTTTTTGTGGCCTATGTGGTCCTTGTAGGAAGGAGATCAGCGTTGGATCAACACTGTGACACAGGCTTTGCACCTTCTCAGCACTCTTTATGGGTCCTTTCCTAACTGCTATGGCATTGGCAGGTGTGCCAAGGTAAGAGCTCTGGCAATGTGGTTATCCCAGTACCCTGTTTCACACATTGGTACCACCAAATCTTGTCCACGGGCATTGCTTTTGTTGTTCTAGAATAGTCCCTCAGAGAGTAAGAGAAGGCAAGACTCAGGTCCTCCTGATCACCTTCCTAAATCTTTTCTCTTTGTGAGAAGAAAAGGGCTGCTGTTTATTTGTTTAGAAGGGAAGCGTTAGTAAAAAGAAGTAAATAGTGTTAATAAATAGTTAGCTCTCCTCTTGGGGACAAGGAGAAGGGTGGAAAGGTTTGACTTCTGTAGGTACGGGCTGCAGTAGGGACCTGGACACACAAGATTGAGAATTTCTTGGGCCCTGCCAGATGTCACATGAACTGTGGAGGAGACTAGAGGAGGAGGAGGATTGTGAAACCAAGGGCCGAAGGCCAGAGATTGGACATATCTTTCTCTTGGACAGAGGTAACATTATACCCAGCAGTACTCTTGTCTTTAGACCCTGGAAGACATGGGACTATAGAAAACGTGGTAGCAAAGTTAAGGCTGTGAATCCTACTCTTAACTGAGATCATGGGCACTTGGTTTTGTGGAAGGCATTTGAGTTGATATTGAACAAACTGGGAAGGGGTGGAGTTGGCTTAGAACCTTCATGGACAGGGTTTTTGGTTTCAGACGTGGACTTTGTGACAGCACTTTGCTCCCAAGTGGTTTACGAGGGCCTGGTGGACGACACCTTCCGCATTAAGTGTGGTGAGTGTCATTTTCTTCTTCGTCTTCACAAGTGTCAGATCCTGGTGCCACTGACCGAGGCTCAAGGACTTCAGGAGGGGAGACACCCAGGTTGTCAGTGAACTGCTGGTTTCCAAATATCTTTGAGGGCCTTTCATACCAGTTCAGGAAAGGGTCAGAGAAAACCGACCTCATTAAAGATGCTGACAGCCATCCCTTCTGCTTTTGAAGGAAGTGTGGACTTTGGCCCAGAAGTCACATCCTCTGACAGGAGCCTGAAGGTGCTTCTCAATGCTGAGGACAAGGTGAGGCTGTGGAGCTCGTGGTGAATTCCCCCGCAGGCACTGCTCACGAGAAGCCCTGGGCTTTAATGCTGGGATAGAAGGCTGAGTCCCAGGAAACAGGTTTTCCTACCAGTTAAGAGCACACCTCAAAGTGCACCAGAGATTCTTAATGTGTATTTGCTATTAATTGATAACCAGCTCAGCCTTCTTTGTATTTTTGCTGGAACTTCTGTACATCTTTCATTTTGTTTTGTTTTTAACATCGATTGTTGTTGTTATATGCTGTTGAGTTGCTTGTGACTCTTAGCGACCCTATGTACAACAGCCCTAAACCCTGCTGTATCCTGTGCCAATCTCATTGTCTCTGACACACCTACGCCCATTACCCCAGTCACTGAATCAATCCGTCTCATCAAGGGTCTCCCTCTCCTGCACTTGTCCTTCCACCCTCCCAAGCATGACGTCCCTCTCCAAGGACTGGTCCCTCCTTGCAGCATGTCTAAAGTATGTCAAATGAAGCCCCAGAATCCTTGCCTCCAAGTAGCAGCCCGGCTTCACCCTCTCCAGGACAAACTTGTTTGCTCTCCTAGCAGTCCATGGTATTCAATACTCTTCTCCAGCATCACAGCTCAAAGGCATAAATTATCCTTCTATCATCCCTAGTCATTGTCCAGCATAGCAAGTGATTGCAAAGACCATACATTCTTTTTGTTGTTGTTGTTTTAAATATTTTTTTTATTATTTTTGTGTGTGTACCATCAAGTTGGATCTGACAGGTACAGGAGGAGATTACCCCTCCTTCTCCAGCAGAGCATCTGGTGGATTTGAACTACATACCTCTAGGATTGCAGTGCAGCTTCTTGACACTAGGCCATCAGAGCTCCCTTGTTGTTTTTAACATCTGTACATTCTTTTGTACCATCACATATGCCAACAAGTTAGGAAGTAGAAAGTTACAGTTTTGGCAAAGTACATTTTTCTTACCTCATTCCCTCACAGGTATTCAGTGAGATTCGTAATGAGCACTTCTCCAATGTCTTTGGCTTCTTGAGTCAGAAGGCCCGGAACCTGCAGGCCCAATATGATGTGAGCTCTGAGCCCTGAGTCCTCTCTTCTGTTTCAGTGACTGTGAACCTGCTCCTCTTTGGCTCCCCTTCTGACACTGTGATGGGCCCTGGTCTTTTCTCTCAAATGGGCGGGAACTCTGAGAGGGAGGTGGTTCTGGTGCCTGAGCTCAGGAAAGAGTTGACTTCATGGGGACTTCCCTACAGCGCCGGAGAGGCATGGACATCAAGCAGATGAAGAACTTCGTGTCCCAAGAACTCAAGGGACTGAAACAGGAACACCGCCTCCTGAGTCTCCGTAGGTTTCGGCTTGAGGAGAAGGGGGAGGGGACCTGAATTCCTGAGGGGGTTGTTACAGAGGGAACTTGCCCCCTAAGAGGGCATCTCTGTTCATCTGGAAATAATGGTCTTCTTTGTTCTAAAGTGAGAAGAAAGCTTTAGATTTTTGCCTTAGTAGGCTTTTATTTTTTGGAACAAAAATGGACGTACTTTCAGAATCAGGACTCTGTCAGCAACTTTTTTTCTCATCTGCAGATATCGGGGCCTGTGAATCCATCATGAAGAAGAAAACCAAACAGGATTTCCAGGAACTAATCAAGACTGAGCATGGTAAGCGCAGCAGCCCTGCTGGGCACCCTTTCCTGCTTCTGCTTCCCTGGCTCCCTGCCTCCCTGCCTCTAGGCCACCTTTACCCTTAGAAGATGCTCTCTGGCTCCTTCTAGCAGTCACTAGCTATGTGGCATGCTGCTTCCTGCCAGAAGTCCCAGGGTCTTTTTACCCACCCTGAGGATGGAGACGAAGATGGGGAGACAGAGATGCTTGTGAGTGTAGTTGGCAACAGCTGAGCTGATTCCCCAGTAACAGGCTCTCCCCTCTGATTGCTCACAGCACTGCTAGAAGGGTTCAACATCCGGGAGAGCACCAGCTACATTGAGGAGCACATAGACCGGCAGGTGAGCTTGGAGGAGGGCTAAGGATGGTTTTTGGTGTAGGGTCTGCCTCAAGCTGAAGGAAGAGGTGAGAAGAATAGATGTCAGGAAGCTGGATTCCCCTGACTCTTCTCTCTTCCTTCCTTGGCACTTTCTGTGTAGGTGTCACCAATAGAAAGCCTGCGTCTCTTGTGCCTTCTGTCCATCACTGAGAATGGTGAGTCCCTGGGTCTTGGATGAGGGCCTTAGAGACTGGCTTTGGGAGAAAGGAGATAAGCTTGAAAGACAGGAACATAAACTTGTTCTCAGAAGCTCAATGTTTTTCTGAAACATCAATTCTTTTCTAAGTGAAAGGAAAATAAAGCAATTTTTCTTTCATGTGAAATCTGACCTGGTCTTAGGGTAATTCATTGTTCCAACCCTAAGCAGAAACACATGCAGCCCCCTCAGGCAGCACCGGCATGTCTTGTGACTGCAGAGACATAGAACTGAGTGGCATTCATCCCAGCATTCCACCCCACTGCCCCCCTTCAACAGGGCTTCACACCAAAGATGCATCTCAGAAAAAAGGAACAGCACTCCCAAAAGCTGAGATCTGCAACCTTTTATGGCAGCTTGTTCTGCTCTTGGAGCCTTTCATTTGGAAACTATTCTTTCAGGAGCTAGAGACCCAGAAAGCCCTTCTGCTTATTCTAAATCTCCTTCTGGGGTTAGAAGTCCCTTATCTCAAAATATTAGAGACATTTGAGATTGCTTTCCTAAAATGCATTTGAACCCTTTCCTGCTCCTCAGTAGCTGTAAAGCAGTTCCAAGAACTTCCCCTTAGTTAAGAAGAAATACAATGTCCCCTCTCCCCTTGCTATGACAATAATAATTTCAGAATCCTTTCCTCAGCATCTTATGATTGAGGGATCCTCCTGAACTGTTAGAATCAGGCTTTCCCCCTCATAAAGCATGCTGACATTTACACATCAGTTTAGAATAGTATATGATCCACGCTTAACATAACTTCTGAATCCTTCCTCGTAGTTGAGGGTGTGTGTGGAGGGGTGGCTGTTTGATGGTGTGTCAGTTTGGCTTTCTCATTTACTTGTCATATCCTTCACCCTCAGGTTTGATCCCTAAGGATTACCGATCTCTGAAAACCCAATATCTGCAGGTAAGGCCTGGAGAATGTCTCATTGAGGGAACTTGGAGAGAAATCATAGAACACTTTTGATAGCAGTGAAAGAAATCGCCTTTTTTCTGTTCCTGCCACCCCCCTTTTCCTATTAAAACTTCCTTCTTGAAGGTAATAGGGATAGTCACCTTCCAGGACCCTGGACTTTTCCCATGGCTCGTTCCCCTCCATCCCCTTCCCGAGGTGGGTGACTTTTTCTGAGAGAAGGGAAACATTTTGCCCTGTTGAACTCGTTGATGAGCTCCTGGTTGAGGTCCTCTCCCTCTCATCATAGCACCCAGGAAGCATTGATCCCGCATCCTTTCCTTCAAGGATTTTCTCAGCCAGAGGATCTTTCCCTCTGTTCTTATATCCATTTCTTTGACAGTTTCAAACTGTTATTTATCCTGTTTTGTGTGGTATTTGAGTATTTCTAACGTGAAAATTTTTCACAAAAACTATGTGATGTGAGCTTCTCCAGGACCCAGACCCCACAGTCCTTGGTTCCCTCATCCCCGGTGGACGTTCATTGTCCCTCCATTGCCTTTTCTCCAGAGCTATGGCCCTGAGCACATGCTGACCTTCTCCAACCTACGTCGAGCTGGGCTCCTCACGGAGCAGGCCCCAGGGGACGCCCTCACAGCGGTGGAAAGCAAAGTGAGCAAGCTGGTGACGGACAAGGCCGCAGGTGAGCGGGAGCACGGTACTGTCCTCCCGTGCTGTCCCCACTGTTCTCAACAAGCCAAGCACACTGGGAAGCCGAGACAAGGATGGGGAAGGAGACTGTGACACTTTACTATTACCATCATTCCTACTCCTGCTTCTGAGAAAAAAGAGCAATTTCTATTTCTTGAACATTTACTAAGTGCTATACCGTGTGCTAAGTCCTTTGGCTAGTTTTTCATCCCATCCCCATAGACTATATAAGTTCAGTTTTATAATTCCTGTTTTACAGATGAGGAGACTCAGGCTTAAGTGAGTTGCCCAAGGTCCCTCACTTAAATCAGATTTGAAACCAGGTCAATTTGATTCCAAAGCCTGTAAACTTAAGAGATAAACTAGGGTTGTGCTCTAGGAAGAGGAAGACTCAGCAGAGAGAAGGGTGAGTGGATGTCTTGATAAGCTCCAAGAAATTAAAGAGAAAAGGCTTTGAGGGGTTCTTTAGGTGTGATAGGTCCTGCTGTTGAGAGGAGGCAACCCTGTCATTTCCAGGAAATTTTATGGCAGTGTTACAAGTCCATAGATCTTGGATGAAACCTATCACTGATTTATTTCCCAGGAAAGATTACAGATGCCTTCAGTTCCCTGGGCAAGAGGAGCAATTTCCGCGCCATCAGCAAAAAGCTGAATTTGGTATGTGGAACAGGGACGGGTAGGGGAGGCAGGGACGCGGTCCTTTATGGAGTACTTAGAACCCACAAAAACCTTCTTGTCATTCCGTTTTTTAAAGATCCTTTTGTTTGATAGCAGTATAACATGAGTTTAATTTAATAAGACTAAGTCTAAAGATTTATTCATCTAATAAACACCTGTCAGTAATAATACTTGTCAGTGCCAGATATTATGCTATGTGCTGCTTCAGTGAATGTCCCTTGAAGGGTTAAGAAGGAGGAACCCTTCTACCTCCTTCATGGAGAGCACGAGGGCTCGTTCAAGAGAATCTGTGGTTATGGAACAGACGCATTAAGCTGTACTTATGGATTTTCTTTTCTCAGGGCTATTGTTGGCTCCCTTTTTAGTTAGAGGAAGAACTCTTCTCCTTGGGATATGCCACCTTTATGTGACCCTTTAAAGGACTAGAGAGCTGAGTTGTTGCTTGCTTCATGTAGTACCTTTGTCCTCTAGATCCCACGTGTGGATGGCGAGTATGACCTCAAAGTGCCACGGGACATGGCCTATGTCTTCAGTGGTGCTTATGTGCCCCTCAGCTGCCGGATCATCGAGCAGGTGAGCTCAGTGACTGGAGATCCCCAACAGACTTCACACCATTGTCTTGGTCCCTGTGAGGCTGGAACCAGCCTTCCTACCACCCTCACAACTCGCAAGAAACACAGCAGTCTGGCCGCTGTATCCTTTCTTTCCTGCCTCTCATACTGCCTATAGACTCGAGACCATTGCTTCACCTTTCCAGGTGCTGGAGCGGCGAAGCTGGCAGGGCCTGGATGAAGTGGTCCGACTGCTCAACTGCAGTGAGTGTGCGTTCACAGGTGTGTGGCGTTGGCAGGTGGGGGCTGTGAGAACAAAAGTGGGGCGGGTTATGTCGCCTTGTCCTAGCGTGTCGGTGAGAACTTGCATCTTGCCTGACCCTCACAGACATGGCCAAGGAAGAGAAGGCCTCCAGCGAGGCCCTGCGCCTCATCCTGGTGGTGTTCCTGGGTGGCTGCACGTTCTCTGAGCTCTCAGCCCTTCGCTTCCTGGGGAGAGAGAAAGGTAAGAGAACAGAAAGGTGAGGACAGTCCGGCATGGGATCTGGGGAAGGAAGGGCACATGACAGCTTTCCTCCTGGCCTCTGGGAAACACTTGCCATAGCCTTGCTGTTGTGCTGCTGTAGCTGGGAGCTCTGTAGTGCCCATGAGGTGTAGCTGATGCCTCCATGTGTGTAAATGTGCTGACTCATTCAGTGAAGGACTGGGGGCCTGCAGGGCCTCCATCGTTACTGGGGGGGTTAAGAGGGTCCTTTGGTCACTCATGCTGCGGCTTTGACTCCTTAGGCTACAGGTTCATTTTCCTGACGACAGCAGTGACAAATAGTGCTCGCCTGATGGAGGCCATGAGTGAAATGAGAGCCTGACGTTTCCCCGGCCAGCCTTGGGGTCCTCTCTGGATAGCCATGGACTGCAGGAGCTCAGCACCCAGCTGCCAATAGTGTCCCCCAACTGATGTGGCTACCTTGCTAGGAGCTGGGGAGCCTGGAGCTCATTTGGGATTTACAGAGCATATCTGAGGAGTGTACTCAGTTCCTGTACCCAAGAGGTTTCTCTTGTATATGAAGTTCAGCCCTGGCTGATAAGATATGAAAGGGAAAAAAGATATTCTTCGCTACTTTCTGTTTGGATTATCACTGTAAATAAAGCCCTCTGTACTCTAGTGTGTCTATAGCCTTGGATGTGTACTTTCTTTTAATTAGGAAAGCCACTGTGGGCTTGGTCTTCTTTGTGAAAGTCACAAAACTGCTCCACCCTGAGTGTCTTTGGCCGTAAAATGAGGGGGATGGGTTAGATGACTACAGACACCCAACCAACTTCCGATCACAGAGTTGTGGGTGACTTCACTTGAGATACAATGAGTGTGATGGTGGTGTTCTAACAAGGAGGGCCTCTGGTTTTAAGGATTTTGTTTCTTACTGCCGAACAAAAGACTGTGTCCCTTGTCAGAAAAATTTCAGGCGTCAGCAAACAGGTGCTCCTGTAAAGGTCATCAGTTTCCTCGTAATTGCTGACCCCAGGGCCACATCCAGTAGCAGGTCCACTGGAAGAAGGTGGGCAGTCTTCTCCTGCCATGATTTACAGCCCGGAAACCCGACAAAGGGTCACTGTGGGCCAGAACTGACTGGACAGCAGTGATATTGAGGTTTTTTATATCAGCCAGCTTTTGAGGAGAAAGTTGGGCAAACTCAGACAGTTAACAGCCTAGGAAATTCAGTGGAGGCTCAGCTTGGAGTCAGTTCTGACTCGACTACAATGAAGTTTTGTACATTTGGTTGTTTGGTGGGCTGTTACTTTTCATTTTAGTTTTCAGGAGCCTCAGTGGCATAGTTTATGTGTTCGACTGCTAACCGAAAGGCCAGCAGCAATTTGCATTCATCAGGTGCTCCTTGGGTGAGAGGCATGTGGTCTCCTCCTGTAGAGATTTGTCACCTGGGAAACCTGACACAGGGTCTCTGTGAGTAGGAATTGACTTGAAGACAGCTGTATTTGGGCTTTTTTGTATCAAGCTTGGGCAGTCCATGGTCAAAGAAAAAGAGAGTTTAATCTTCAGTGAGCTATATGGACATAATGACTGTTGTAACCTAACAGAAGGTTGGCACAGAACTGGGCAATGTTTGGGTCTGTTGTACAGAGTGGTGGTCATTATGAGTGAGAACAGCTCCACAGCAAGCAGCAACAATAAGCATCAAGTGAGTATGTGAGCTCAGACACCACTAACAGGGTTGTTAGTTTGCAGAAAGAATATGCAACTGTCAGAAAAAGCCTATGCTGGGGCTGAGTGAATAAACAGTGCTAAGGCTATCAAGGGTATCATCCAGGAAGAGTGCAAACGGTCATTGCAAAGACAGAAGAGGAAGTGAAGACCAAAATGGATGTCAGAAGAGACTCTGAAAATTGCACTGGAGTGCAGAGAAGCCAAAGCACAAGGAAAAATTCAAG